TTAAGGCCAAAGATTATGTAGTCAAATGAAAGAGAGAATAAAGAATCCAGTTACCAGGGTAAGGAAAGACTGATAACTTTTTCTTTCTGGACACATAAAAGCTTGAAACCCGATTTGTGTGTTCAGATGGTACCATATTATTCTGCACAAACCACTGTTGTTCTTGCTTTGTTCAAATTCACTTTCACCACAGACTTTAGACAGTGAAATCCCCCAGAGGCCACGAAGTAAATCTTTGCCGTATACTTTGATCAGTCTGCTATAAACAAAAGCTACCCCAGATATTTTAATCAATAAAGAATCACTGTTATTTAGTCTATTAGGGGAGAGAAAAAGATTCTTATTTCATTTGTAAAGTAATTAGAAAGGAAATAATCGCATTAAAAAAAAAAGAAAACTAGCTGAACGGATCCCAAATTAGTCGAAGGCATTTCTTTTTGGTGCATCTCAGAGTATTTAGAATCAACTTGATAAATGTAAGTGCATAATGAAAATTGCTTCATTAAAATTCATGGGGGGCGGATAAGTGTATGTTGTAGTAATCTTTTACACTACACCATACTTTATTTTTTCCTTGATGAATTTGATGTGATACTGCTCCATCAACTGTGATTCAGGTCTTATTATTTAAGTGTACTTGAAGAATTCAAAGAAAATGATTCTATACAATACGAAGATATGACTAAGGATGCTTCTCAAAAAGACTTAGAGTGTGTCTATGTATATAACGAAGGAACAAGCATGAATATTACTAGTGTATACTAGTATCCCCATTACTGAAGGTCTTGATATCATTTCCAGTTTCCTAGAATCAGACACAACCCTATCGTGAAGATGTCCACTGGACACCAGTGAAATAATTAAGAGGTTGAAATTCTGTCTGGAAAGTAATTATTTTATATTTAAAGGGAATTTATATAGACAGGCAAATGGTGTTGCTATGTATTCACCAGTTTCCCTAATAATCACTGATCTTTTTATGAACAGATTCGAAGATAACATCTTCTCAAGAATACTCACTCCTAAAATATGGTTAAGATATGTAGATGATACTTTTGTCGTGCTAAAACGAACGAGATCTACACAGTTCATTCCTGGAGAAACTGAACAATCTGTTTCCCAGAATCCAGTTTACTTCGGAAGCAGAATCAGACGTCGGTGAACTAACATTTCTAGACTGCCTAGTTAGGAGGAGGGAAAACGGACATTTTAGCATATCTGTATTCAGGAAGAAAACCCACTCCAACAAATATTTAGACTTCGGTTCATCACACCCCACCAGCGCAAACGTATCACTTCTTTCAAGTCTTCTTAGACTAGCACACTCTCTGATAATGGATGAGAAGGGAATAGAAGAAGAAATATCAAACATTACTGTTACTCTCAAGCAAAATAACTACCCAAAGAACTTCATCAACAAAATCAACATCGACACTAAATATGGTCGAAAACGTATTCCGAAGACATAGGCCTCAACAGTTGTCATTCCATATAGATCAGAGACGTTGGACGATATCAGAAGAGTGCTCAATAAGAACAACATCAGAGTTTCCTTCAAGACATCAGACAAACTACAAAGCAACCTCGTCCATATAAAAGACCAAGTCCCTAAGGATTCTCTATTTAATTATCTCTATAGAATAGAATGCTCGGAATGTGATGCGATATACATCGGACAAACGTCGCTTGACAGAAATCAAAATCAGAAGAAATGATCACCGTAGAGCATCTGTTCGACCACCAAGAAATACAGTTGAACTAGAAAAGTTTGGAAAATCACCGGCTGTAGGTCTACATGCTATAGAATCAGACCATGAAATTGATTTCAGAAATCACAAAGAACGTCTAATATCAGAAGCACTTCATAACAAGTGGAATCCAAATTGTTTGAATAGGAATTTTGGACTAAAACAGAATTTGATCTGGTTACGATAGCCCCCTCCCCCATGAAATGACAAAATCAACACGAATGAGATAAGCAATTTCATTATGTAAACACACTTTGCTTTTATAATTTTATACACTTATCAGATCCAACAATCTACACCTGGTTTTGTTATCTTTACCAATTGGCCAACTTGACAATGCAAAAAAATTATCCCATGCTGAGAAACGATGATTAATTTCTTATATAAGCTGGGGTTTTGTAAATTCTGGTTTAATAATACTTTGATAAAGCTCTTAGCAGCATTAAATAGCGAAACGACAGTAGAAACAATATCGTTTTGTTTTTCATTCATTGGGAAATACAAAAAAACTTTATTATAATGAATATCATATACCCAATGCCCAAATTTTTTCAAACTGTTAAAAGTGAATTTGGTTAGGACATATCTGAATGGTACTCTGTTCATATTCTAATACTTAGTATGGAGAATCGTGTTATCTGTTTAACAAACAAGCATTATCCATACACTTTTACAACACGTCTAACATCAGGACACCAAGTTTCAAAGTGTCAGAAAATACAGTTAATTCTCAAAATAATTACAAATAGTTATCTCTATATTATTCATTGTGCATAGTATTTACTGGACAGTGTGACATCGTCAGATTAGTTGATTCTTTTCAACAATACACTGAATGACAGATGTGCGTCGGTGGCACAGTGGTTAGGACTCTCGCCGACCATGCACATGCTCCGGGGTTCGAACCCCTGCCGGCGCACACCCGATATCTATGGTCGGTCTGAATTTGGGCTACCGATATCCATGCTGAAAATTCCACACTTGTGCTGAAAATACGGTGTGGAATCAAGCTGTAAATCAAAATAAATAAAAATAAATAAATAAATAGTTGCTTAGCCAATTTAGTTTAGTTTCCATTATTGTTTTTCAACCTTGTCACTAATATATCACACTTAATACGTTATAGTATTTCATCATTAGCTGACATCAGTTAGACAACCACTGGAAAACCACCAGGGAGTACTGGACGGACAGCTGTTTCGATAGCCTAGTTTGGGACTCTTCTGCAGTTCGCACCCACACGACGGGGCTCGAACCCAGAACTTTCCGGTTACAAGGCAACCTCACATTTTTTAATAGTTGGCTTCCTTTTCATAGTTTCAGTCTTCAACGAATAAATGTCACATTACTAATTCAGTGCGAATTAGACAGGAGTCTTTGTGTTTTTCCGTCCAAACTATTTCATCTAATCTCTAATTATTAAGTCCATCTCATTTAAACGACATCAGGGAGTTGACATTCCCTGACACTCTTAAGGCTAACAACTAACACTATGAACTGGAGTAACAAATAGCTTAGCGTGTATATTACCTATCTCATCCACTTTATCTTATAAAATATTCTTCTCTGTTCAGTACTCTACATGTAGCAACTAAAGTTCTCACGTAATGACAAGTTGATTCTTCTATAGAGAAGAAAACAAGATTATGTTGTTTAACACTCAGGATACACAAAATTTTACCGATAAATTTTGAAACATGACCAGTAATCTAGAAGACTGATTACCATGAGACACTTCTGCAACATATTATCTGGTCAGAAGAAATCAGCGTGCCAGTAAGCTTGAGTAAGTTGCACCATTTCGGTAAGTTTCAGAATGAAGGATAGCCAGAACCAGAGATTTACTATGATTGCCTTCAGTCATTTATGTGTGTCAGTGGCACTGCGTAGAATGCTCGGCGACTACGCATGTGGTCCGGGGTTCAATCCCTGGCCGACGCACTCCTTTACCTCACCTGGCCAGTAATAAGACTGGTAAAGAGAGAAGACTCTAGCTTGAAGCCGTATGTTCCACTACAAACATAAAGGAATAACATGTATATATATATTATTATTGTTCCCTCGGGTTCCTAGTGGAACATAGGGCTTCAATTACACGTCTCCACTTGCTTCTGTCTTCTGCCATGCTTTTCACCTGCATACATGTTAGTCCATACTGTTTCAACTCCTCTTCACACGATCTCCTTCATATCACCCTTGGACGTCCCACTCGCCACTTCCCTTTCGGGTTCCACTCGAGCACTGGCCTGACGCGCGATGTCACCCAACGGCCTCCTCAGTGAGTGTCCAATCCATCTCCACTTTCTCCTGCATATTTGTTCCCCGATTGGTTCTTGTTTTGTTTCTTCCCATAGTTTCCTGTTGGTTCTTGTTCTTTCCGGCCATCTGATCTTCAGAATAGAGCCAGCGAAGACAGTTGTTGATAAAGGTTTGCAACCTGCTGGAAATATTCTTTGTGACCCGCCAAGTTTCTGATCCATCCGTATAGAAGAACTGACTGACTTGACGTTTGTATTGAAAATCCGAATTTTGTTGTTGACGCAGCCTGAGTGACGAAGATTTCCAGATTGGTTTCAGCTTGATAATGAATGTGTTTCTCGCCTTCTCGATTCTCGATTTGGCATCCTCATCGGTTCCTCCTGTAGTTGAGACAATGCTCCCTAGATAAGTGAATGAAGTGACCTCTTTCAAATCCCTCCCGTTGATGGTGATTGGCGCTGGATGTTGCTATTGTTAGTTGGTTATTTTCATAACCTCCATCTTGTCTATGTTCACCTGGAGTCCTGTCTTCTCTGGCTGCTTCTTCGACCAGTTTGTCGGTCGGTTTTCGCTTGTAAGTCCTCGACTTTGTGTGACATCTGGGTGACCGGAATAGATTACTGTCTCTCCAGTTGATGGTTGGCTCCTTCCACATCCGTTCCATCTGCTCTCGCAGATTCCCAACACTTCTATTCCATACCTTTTCATTTCTGCGGCTACCTGGACAGCCTTTCCAGCTTCGTACATTGTACGAACATTCCACGTCCCCATCCTTATTTTCGCTTTCATCGAAAGGAGGCACATCGGCTGACTGGCTTCCCGATATATATATATATATATAATTATTGGCCTCAGTTTCCGTAAACAGTTCCCTAATACCAGTTAACGATAAGCTTTCTAAGAATGAATGAATTAACTATGCATTCATAAAATTTTGAAAATTACTAATCACATCATTTGTTTTATTTCTTTTCTTTATTGAAAAAAATCTAGTTACAACCCAGTCGTTCACAACCTGGCAGTGTTGAAGTACGCCTGTTGCGTAAATTACCCGCACCAATGAATATCCTCATTTCTGTTCATGTAACAATATCAAAAGGTGAAGTGGAGATTGCTCATGCTGTAACCAAACTATATCTATTTGTAACACAATCATTCTCTGAACGATTGAGATTAGGCAGAATAATGCAGAAAGGAATAAGTTAGATAATATTTCCTTCCCTTTTTTTATCTTTACCTCGTTGTCCTTCTCTCTTTCACCGTCATTATCATCATCATCATTATTGTCGACAGTATCCCTTTCCTGATCATTTTTTTGTTCCAGAAGTTTTCTTCATCTTAACCAGAGAGAAATTTTTTCTTTGACTGTTCTTCCCTATCATTATTTATTTTTTAATTTCTGGAAAAAGATACTACTTTGTCTTAATTTAATTTAATTTTATTATGTACACAATCAAATTAGTACAGAGATATTAATGATGACAGCTATTTTGACAAAAGTGTATGATTATGTTGTCACTTATGTTGAAGAGTAGTGACACACTGATGAGGTATAGTCCGCTTCCTGTTTTTTTTTCAGTGTTTTTCTCCTCTTGACAGATATGAGAACGCAAGTACATTTATATACACATAAAAATACTAGTACACTTTATACACGCATATGTATCTTCTTTCCTTTTTCTGCGCTAACATGGATAATGATGTTATCATTACATGCTTTGAATCTAATTAATCGATAAATTATGTTGTATTGATTATATGCACACACATAAACATATAGAAATATTCACATGCGCAGTCGATATATATATATATATATATATATATATATATATATGAACAAGTATTTTCCCTACTGTTACTCAATAACTTTAAACACTGTTTTCTTTTAAAGCGCCACATTTTCAAATTTGTTTGCATATTGCAACAGCAAAATAAAACATGCAATTCTACTGATGATTATATAATTGTATTTTAGGCCGAAACAATTTTTCTTTGTAAAAGATAAATGTAGGTGTAATGCCAACGAAATATTGTGATTATAAACTAATAGTTTTGCTTCTTATCTTCGTGATTTTATGTTTGTTTACAAATTGAATTCTTTACAGGATTTCATCATAAACTGACATTGGTTAGAGAACCATTAAAAGGGAAGTACTGGACAGACAGCTGTTTCGTCAGCCTAGTTTGTGACTCTTCATCAGTGCGCACCCACCAAGGGGGTTTGAACCCAGGACCTTCTGGTTACAAGGCTAGCGAGCTCGTAGACCATTAAGCCACTAAGACCCGACTCAATGGCCAGCTTATGAATTCTAACTTCTGCCAATTCACGATATAGCGCCGACATTAGCCAATGTCATTGGTGGGGAGTATTTGTCCTCACACCCGACCTACTCTATCCTAAGAGCTCGCCTTGTAACTAGGAGGTCATGATTTCGAACCCTGTTGGTGGGTGCGCACTGATGAAGAGCCCCCAATCAGGCTGACGAAATAACTGTCTGTCCCTTTAGGTTTTCCAATGGTTCTCTAACTTATGTCAGCTCATGATGAAATCCTCCATGCAATCAAAGAAAATCCCTACAAACCAATACTTGAAACTGAATTGTGTTAGACAAGTAATCAATGCTAGACAAGTAGGGCTAGATACACTGTATTACTGTGAAGAGTGCATAATCTACAGGCCTGATGTGAATGTGAATTTATGTGCTTATCACAATGTTACCGTTTGTTATAATGTATTTGATTAGTAATTTACCCATTTGATTGCATAACACAACACTGAAAAACACTGTTATTTCAAACAAGGTTTCTGGGAATAAATTTTACTAAAGATCAGTTTCAGTTTTGTGTTTGTTAATACTCAGACAATTTCTGACATTCACCAGGGGAATTCACAGTTGGCTAGCCGAATTATGCGACATATTCTGATATAAGAAACAATTAAGAGAAATACATGCAAATTATCGTCAGTGGGGCAGAATGATTATATATCATATTGGAAAGAATAAGGTCTCTACCACGTTCTCAACGGATATTTAGGAGTTAGCAGTTAGATCTGTCGGGACTTGACTGAACTTGTGGTAGACTACGTTATAAATTATTAAAAAAAATAAGTAGAAATGAATGTCTTCTTCGCTTTGATTTAGGGTTCTCTGAAAAAACGCGAATATATCATTCTGACTCAGGATTACAGATAATTCATTCAATACAAGTCGTTCGATACTGTCAGTATTACGTTCTTATTGGAAACTTACGAAATTCCACTTCAGTCATAAAAACTTTTGGGATTTAGTTAATGTGAAGGTGGGATATTTCAATTTATGAAGAAGGTTAACTCAATATATATGTTTTAAAGGCTTGAGCACTCACCTTCAAACTAGTAGGTCTTGAGTATGAATACTCCTCCACCAACTTCAGCCTGGTCATGAGGATAGTATGATAAACCCCGAAACGTTAACTGTATAATTCACAGACTGGTACATGAAAGATCTGAGCCAGGCAACTGAGTTCAAACAACGTGTGAACCTCACCGTTTCTAAGTCTGGAAAAAAGGGAAGGTTATATGTCATGCTAGCAACTCCCTTTCCCCTATAATATAACTAACTTATTCTCCTCCGGAACCTGAAACGCCCCACAGTTCGAGGGCAGATGGTGTCCACGGGTGAAAGGCTTCAGGAAACCAGCCTACCAGTATGTCTTCTTCTCATGAAAGTAATAATAAGCTTGAGGATATAGAATAACCACACCGCACACAAGGGGTACCTAACCTGTCATATGCACTGATGGTGTTCCCGTGACTTTTGTTGCCAGATCTGCCAAGGGCCATGGGATAGTACGCGACCTAATGGTTGTGTGCAAGGTTTGAAGAAGGCTGTGTGTTATTTGCATGCGCCTCGCCCTAATAATGTTTAGCGTCGGTGGCATAGCGGTTAGGACGCTCGCCGACCATGCACATGGTCCGGGGTTCGATTCCCGGCCACCAACGCACTCCTTTACCTCGCTAAGCCAGAAATAATGCTGGTAAAGAGGAAAGGTTGGGCATGAGGCTAGCAACCCCATCCTGTAAAATAAACACTGCTACAGAAACTTCAAGTCACTAGCTTGAAGCCCTATGTTCCACAGGGGAACGTGAAGGATAAAAAAACACCATGTTTGAAACTGTCAAGCCTGCTAAGAATTAAATACTATTTTCAAATATTACAACCCTATATATTAAGTTTCTGAAGACTGAGTGATCTTTATTCAAGAAAATCCCTAGTTATGGAAGAATGTTTATACTTCACAGTGGTGTTATGCAACAAAAAGAGAATATGCTATAAATTTGTCGTGTATCGTAGTGTTCATTTGCTACTCTTGTGTAACAAAACAATGGAATCGTATTGTAAATAATTCAATTACATAATACGAACACTTCCTCACTACCATTCAATGTATATTCTCACTATTCATCCAATGTTAATTGAATTAGATAACGCTAAATTCACTACATTCTGTTACATTTGCACTGCTTACTTTATCGCATAGAAGAATAAGACTCAATGATAGCATGAATTAAGAACAATGTTCAGTTTTAGGCGAACTTGAGACATACTTCAATGGTAGATTAAGGTTTACCCAGATAAACTAAATAAGTGAAGCTGAAAATAAATTTATTTGACGATAATTAGCGAACAGAATGAGATATAGTCACTACATAATTTTTCCTTGCAATTCCACTTATCGATTGCTTTCAACTAAACATGAAGTTAACAGATGTTGGGAACAATAAAAGATCATTTTGAATTACTTGTTTAACTAGCAAAACGTGATTTACTATCTACCATTTTAACATCGTTAATTTAATGTTTCCGTTGTCAGTATACTGATCACTGTTCAGAATTACCCACTTCTGTGTTTTATTAGTACACATCTATATCGAAATACTATACATCATCAAAGTTGAATCAATGAATACTTTTCGCATTGAATCTAATGATGTTCGGGTGAAATGTAACTGATAAACCAACCAAAATGGGGATTTTGAATTGAATGCTTACAACACAATTTCAAGAAGATACGAGATCCTTGTTAGCCTAGAATCTGTAATATATCCAGAAATCTAGGCGAAAACGACATTTCTCGATCTCTTGTATTCTAAGTGGAATATAGGGCTTCGAGGTTTAAAGTTCCGGTAGCGATCGCGTTGTTTTTATGGGATGGGTTGCTAGTTTCATGCCTGGTGAGTAACTGTAAGCCTCGCTAAGATTCGGGCTCGGATCAGTGGATTCAGAGTTCAGAATATCAACCACTGCACCGAGAGACCTCTTAATCAGTATGCACCCGTGACGTCACCGGTTGTCGAACCCTGGACCTTCAGGTTATGAGACGAATCATTTGAAAATCCAGACACTGAGATAAAACTAGTGGCCCGAGAGAGGTTCAAACTCTTGATACGGTCCACTAATTCAAATTTTGATTGAAATATGTACAACAGTACTCAAGGATAAAAATAAAATGTTTTATCGCAATTGCAATGATAGATTACATCTCATTTAAATAATCCTGAATTTATTTTGATGACATCGCTTTAAAGAAAACTTCAAAAACAGAAGTCTTTAGACCGCCTTAATGTGAACCTACTGACTGAGGAAGAAACCGAAGTGTTAGTCTGTGGTGAGAGCTGGCTGTAAGCCAAAATTGTAGATAACAATTTACGTCAATGTTTACGTCCCGAATCGGGGGCATGAGAAAAACAATAACAAAGCTTCTTAACCTTGAGGAACTCATCACCAATCACAGCAGAGTGAACATGTGGAAACATGATTCGCAGCTATATGGCTTAACTTCTTAAGAAACGGTCACAAGCAGTACAGAATAACCTTCAGCAAGAAAACAACCAATCAGAAGGAGAAGTTGCATCTCCGCTGACAGTAATATATGTAAAAATTTATAAATATCTCTTGATTTTCTCAACAAACGAGCTGTTGCCTGGCCCTTGTCTTCTGTCGTTACAAGTCGACGTTTGAATAGGAACAAAAATGTGACCATCAGTTCACTGTTGTTGTTTTTTGAATACATAGATCGCTTTGCCTTTAATCCAGAAGATTACCATCCATTCCTTGACGATAATAACCTTTTTTATTGTTAGAAGACACAAGACAGTCCTAACGACTAACTCAGAAGAATTCAAATACTCTACAAATACTGATCGAATTGAAGAGCAAACCACCACATTAGTGTCCCTACATAAAAACAACGTTAGTGGCTTGGGCCAGTGTATTTTAGGTTTGGAATGTTTATTAAAGAAAAAGATGAAAGTGCTTTTCGATTATTGCACTACGTTTACTTAGTTACATAGAACTCTCATTTCTCTGGTGATTCTGGCCAGGAAGTTGTGGAATTTATTGTAATTTGTTCACCTTCGAACACTGAGTTTGTGGATATAATCTTGTTGATTGATAATACCTATAACTAACTGTTCGGCATTTTGTGACTGTTGACCCCGATAAAAAACTTGGAGGATCTGGATTTCACTGATGTTACATGTCTGATTTCCCATAAACTGGAACATATGAAAGTGAAAAGCAACAAGTTGGCAGAAGAAGCATCCAGAGAAGATAGGAATTCAGGTGAGCATAGAGAAAACAGAAGTGTTGAAGATTCCTGGGCAACAGCAACAGCAACAACCACCGTCACAACAACAGACAACAGTCAACCAGCATAAATGGTCGTTGAGTGAGAGGGTGACATGGGGGAGGTGGTCGTGTGAAGAGGAGATGGAAGGATGTGGGCAGATGTGGAGCCAGGTGAAAACGTTAGTAGAGGAGCGAACGCAATGGAGACGTTCGGCTGAACCCCTATATTCCTCTAGGAATTAAAGGAAGCGATGATAATAATATTAAAGAAAAAGATGGACATTTTATTCAAATAAAACTTTTATACTGACTCTATATGCTGTTGATTTATTGGCATGATTTACGTCAACAATTTGCGCTTGCTAGACAAATCGAACTGATCTAAAAACCAGTTTTCAAAAGGAACTGAAG